TTTTGGTTGCAGCCATCATTGTTGTTTGGCGGGTCTGGGCTGGGGATTCGAACCTGCCACTTTAGGTGTATGTGGCTGGCTCCTTAGCCGGTAGAGCTATAGGCGCCGAGCCGGCTTATTTAAATTTAAGAGTATATTCTGTGCCTTATGTGGAGTATTACAGGGCAGTAGATGGTATAAAAGAGGTTTATCCTGGGGAGGGAGGTGAGGTAGTGCTGAGCCTTTTGGATGGAGAAGAGCATGAGGCAGAACCAGCCTCCCTCCTTTGGTAAAGACAGGTATGTACCCGGCCTGCCTGGAGCTGGAGGCTCAGAGGTCAAGGCAGTCTAAAAGAATGCAGCCGAGGAGTCAGATTTGGAGGTTGGAATGCCAGCTACCACCACCTTGGACTGCTGGGTGATGAACAGCGCAGAGCCATGCAGGTATATTACTTGGCCTTCTCAGGCCTGTTTCCTCATTCTGGATAATGAGCCAGACAGCACCCCCTTCACAGGGCTGTGGGAAGGACAAAATGAGACAATGCACACAGAGAACCCTGCCCAGCCTTGGCACAAAATGAGCACCCAAAGGTTAGCTGGATCTCAGTAGGGCTCGAATTTGGAACCTGTCTGTAGTGTGATGCCACGAGAGGCTGGAGTTCCTACTAGGTCAGACCTTGCTGGGATGAACAGATCCAAGTCTTCTAATCTCACCAGATCTCTGCAAAGGAGATACAACTATCCTAAGGTGACCAGATGTCCCGCTTTTTAACACTTTGTCCCGTGTCTCATGGTGTTTTTAAAAAGTCCCGATTTTTGGACAGAACGCAGGACAAACTAGGGCCCAATTTTTGGAAAGAATGCAGGACAAGCTAGGGAACAGCGGGAGAATGGGAAGGGAATATATGGGTTTTGGCTGCTGAAGAGGTTAATGTAACTCCATTTGGGAATGAAGAGGTTAATGTAACTTCATTTGGGAATGAAGAGGTTAATGTAACTTCATTTGGAAATGAAAAGGCTAATGTAAACTCCCTACTCCCCTCCTGGGCAAGATCGCCCAGGTGGAATCACCAGAAGGAGACTGGCTCCCTCCCTTGCTTCTAGGCAAGGACAATTAGGTCAGAAGGAGCCAAACTGTCTGGAGCAAATAAGTAGCTACCCCTGCCCCCAGTAAGGTGACCAGACGTCCTGCTTTTGGTGAGACAGTCCCAATTTTTAAAAGTTTGTCTTGCGTCCTGCGGCATTTTAAAAAAGTCCCGATTTTTGGAAAGAATGCAAGACAAGCTAGGGAATGCGAGAGAACAGGAAGGGAATATATGGTTTTCGGCTGCCATGTGGCTATTTTGCCAGGATATGCATTTTATATTATTTTTGTTAATTTTATAATGTTAAACTTTTTTTTTTTTT